AACAAATCTGAAAATAATGTTACAATACTTCTGGCGTATAAATACAAATAATGTAAAAGTTGGCAAAATAGGCACAATATTGATTTAAAGATTACATTCTTCAGGATATTATATATATTCACAAAATATTTAAATTTTGAAGATGCTTGAATGCTAATTTGTTTTAGTGTTACAATTATTGACGTTGTTGTGGGTGAAGTGTGGCAACCCTGCACATGTTGTTGTGGGTGGTGAAGTGTGGCAACCCTGCACATGTTGTTGTGGGTGGTGAAGTGTGGCAACCCTGCACATGTTGTTGTGGGTGGTGAAGTGGGCAACCCTGCACATGTTGTTGTGGGTGGTGAAGTGTGGCAACCCTGCACATGTTGTTGTGGGTGGTGAAGTGTGGCAACCCTGCACATGTTGTTGTGGGTGGTGAAGTGTGGCAACCATGCACACACTGTTGTGGGTGGTGAAGTGTGGCAACCCTGCACATGTTGTTGTGGGTGGTGAAGTGTGGCAACCCTGCACATGTTGTTGTGGGTGGTGAAGTGTGGCAACCCTGCACATGTTGTTGTGGGTGGTGAAGTGTGGCAACCCTGCACATGTTGTTGTGGGTGGTGAAGTGTGGCAACCCTGCACACACTGTTGTGGGTGGTGAAGTGTGGCAACCCTGCACACACTGTTGTGGGTGGTGAAGTGTGGCAACCCTGCACACACTGTTGTGGGTGGTGAAGTGTGGCAACCCTGCACACACTGTTGTGGGTGGTGAAGTGTGGCAACCCTGCACACACTGTTGTGGGTGGTGAAGTGTGGCAACCCTGCACACACTGTTGTGGGTGGTGAAGTGTGGCAACCCTGCACACACTGTTGTGGGTGGTGAAGTGGGCAACCCTGCACACACTGTTGTGGGTGGTGAAGTGTGGCAACCCTGCACACACTGTTGTGGGTGGTGAAGTGTGGCAACCCTGCACACACTGTTGTGGGTGGTCAAGTGTGGCAACCCTGCACTCGCTGTGTCATATGAATTCGTGATAAAAATGAGGTCGGTTTTAAAGAAGTCTTTTTCCATAAACGGTTAGACGCATGTCCGGTCTTATTCTCGTAACTTATCCTTCATTACGTGACGCGCGCACACACATACACACACAATTCCAGTGTGTTCCAGGTATTCCATCTCAGGTGTTCCAAAGTGTTCCCCCAGTACATACTCTATGTGTTCCAGTGTGTTCCAAATATTCCAAAGCAGGAGAAAGCACTAAGTCATTACGACTCTATAGCACTTGAAAGGAATATGAGGACAGGGATTTGGGATATTACGAAGGAAAGGAATGGTGCCCAAACCACATGGACGGTCGGGGATTGAACTCCGACCTGCGAGGAAGAGAGACGTCGCTCTACCGTCTAGTCCACGTGGTTGGGTAATAAATAAAACTGTTTTGCATGCGAACCCAAGCAACCTACCAAACCCATTGAGGCCGATGCATAGAAAACGTTAATATTACGGGGGGGGGGGTTCCTTTTTGCTAGGTCGCATTTTTAACGGATTGGTCGATTGTTAGAAAACGTGTTAGGTGAGAGAGCGGATCTGTAACAACAGGGTAATTGATCAAGTCACCATTGGAGACTTTCGGCGCCGTGGAGAGGTGGGGGGGGGGGGGGGGGAAACCTGCTGCATGGGTAACAGCTTCTTCCCCGTATCAACCTACCCTGGCTTTACGCCCTGGAGAGGCCACTCCAGACCGACAACCAGAGCGCAACTTTATAGTCTCCTGAGACTGATCAATTGTTGTTTAAGATTCAGCTACAGGGAACTAAAAGTTGCAAGTAGCACGGGCTATGGTGAGCCCGTAATGGACTTACCTGACACAGGAGCGGGGCTAAAACTTATGTGACTGATCGATGCCTACTATACTGATCAAGAATACACACTTCAGACATCTCAAACACAAGGAAATGAATCCCGACAATAGAAAACACAACGAATATTATCCATTGTGTGAGAACAATTGACGGGTGATGGAGGGGAGAAGAGTACTTAAGGCAAAAAAAAAAACAGGTTTCTCGACCCTCCTCGCATTCCACCACAAAGAATTTGGAGGTCGCCATATATATCTAGTCCACTTAACCCCATGTCCACTGTAACGTATCTCACGCCTCTCGGAACTCAACCATTTCCTCTTCTTAATTTGTTTCGTCAGGGAGGACACGCATCCTGTGTATGTACTGCACGTTTAAGCTGATATATCTAGGTCCCCCTCCAAGGTCAACCTACTGACCCTTCCCAAGATGTAACTTCTAAGCTTCAAGAAGCCTAGCCCATACAGCCAAGCTTCAAGAAGCCTACACCACGTTTTAGGATTCTTGTAGCCTAACCCTCACGCCTAGCTAGCAAAACTTATTCAAATCTTGTAGATCTGAGGCAAAATGAAATCGACACCAGTAATTCCATCTATCATCATACTATCATGCAAGAGGAGCCACACATCTATGGTTCATCCAATAAAATCAGCAGACTTCTTGATGCTCGGCTTAGACTCGGTTACAAGTATCTCTGGGAATTCTCATTATCTGCTGATGTAGACCTGACCAAATGTAAACTGTGTCAACAAAATTATTCGCACACCCTCCGTCACTATGTGATGGAGTGCGAAAAGATACGTGAATTTAGAGACAATTCTATAACCAATGTACCAACATGTGTCAATATTTCATTCAAAATGATCTGCTACCAGAAATTTTAGTCAAATATCCCCAGTTGCTAACTGTAGGTAGTAACTGAGTGATTGTAACCTATCCACCGCTGCTCACTGGATGGGGGGGCGGTGTGCAGGACAAACATATCAATTGTGACACTAGCTCTCCACATATGTCAGTTGCTTAATTTAGAAACTGTGCTTGTGGTCGATCTCGAACCCATTGTTGATGTGACGACTTATACTGAATTTTGTAACTAGCTCATCAAGATTGTAACTTGCTTAGCTAAATGAATTGTGGGGTTCAGTCCCTGAGCCCATTATGTGCCTCTGTAACCCTTCCCGCTACCGCCCACAGGATGGGTATGGGGTGCATAATAAATGAACGAAACTAACTAATTTAGTTTACCTCACCTTTATTTAACAATTAATTTGTATTGCGCTAAAAATTTTATATTGTAAATAAAATATGATAATACAAATTATTTATTGAACTAGTTGTTTTATATCATGAGGACACAGCTGTCCAGTGAAGATTAATTTTAGTGTTGTGTCTGTGACCAGGTTGTTGTTAAAGATTCGCTACCTGGAACATAAAGTTCCAAGTAGCACGGGCTATGGTGAGCCCGTGTGTGACCAGGCTTGCCCGTGAGCCATAATCAAGGGAGGGACTTCCTAATCAACTCTCCTTTTGGGACATAATTAAAAACTTTGGCGAGGAGGCCAGTATAAGGAATCATAGTGTTATGGATTAAGAAATACTCTGTAGCCTAGTAAGTCGATGTGTGGTAAGAGTTAGTCATGGTAGAAATGTACACACAAGGGCTAAATAAGGGTCTGTTTCTCCCAACTCTTCTGCGTAGGATTGAAAACTTGGCTTTACTAATAATGACGACATATATTCACCAATTCATATGTGATCACTTTATTTAGTGACCTTATACGGGACAGGAAGCCTGTGGAGGGAACCCATCTCGCGGGTGATAAGAAAATATCTTATAGTGAGACTTTCGGTTTTCCCAGGATAAAACATAATAATAAAGTTGACGCCATTGATAAGGTTACAGTAAATTAAAATATTGTTGAACGGAATCTTGAATTATCAAATAGGTCTATTAAATGTGTCATTAAACGAGAGTTAATGAATTTAAAGAAAGTAGAACAGTGCAAACTTGAACTAGCAGGTCTATTGTTTATCACAATGAAATGTGTAAAGTAAAACATATGTATGGGGCAAGTAACAAAGTCAGCAGACTAATAGACGTTGTCACAGCTCGAATAAGACTTGTCTACAAGTGCCTCTGGCAGTTCGGTTTGTATAGGGATCTAGATGAAGTTAAATGCATCATATGTGGACAAAGACAGGGACACACTTTAGAATTATATCTTGGACTGTAATAACATTGAATCATTTAGAGATAAATCTAAACTCACGCTGTATGAAATGGCAATCCATCCTTTTACTGAGGATATCAGAAATCCTTGCACTGTATCCATATTTCGCTTTCAGTAGGTAAACGACACGAGATTAAGAAGCAAGTAGTGTATTGTAATGACTAATAATAACAAACAGCAGCTCACCTATGACCATATAATATTTCCATAGCAAACTAATACAAACAATTATGTATTAGCGAGAAGGCCTACCATTAATGTAATGTGATTATCTGTAAATACATAGTTATTGAAATAGAACATTCTTTGTAACTAGCTGACATTATAATTAATTATAAGGTGTGAAGGATAGATGCAATTATTAATGTAATAATCTTCGTTGAGGTCTGATAAAGACCTTTTGTGCCCTCTGTAATCCTTTTTGCGCTACCGCTCACAGGATGAGTATAGGGTGCACAATAAACTAGCCGCCACGGGGTCAACTATCAAAAAAATTATAATTGTCTCAAATTACACCTACATACTTGGTGATTTCACAGAGATTATCTATATATTCTAGGAGTTGAACAAGATGACACACTCGCTACTTGGCTCCTGATATTCACTGTCATAGAAAATATTAAAAAATACAAAAATAACCAATCCAAACATAAGAAATTGAATTGCATCATATGAGGAATTCCATTCACACCCAATGAGCATAGTACCAGAGCTCGTTTCGACGACCAATCACATTGTAAGTGGTTCTGCTGTATCAGTAATAATATTTTAAAACATCTCTCTCTTTCAAAACTAAGCAAATAATACGCGTTATCCTCTATGTAAGATAACCAGTGTGTGATACACAGCACAGACTTGCACAAGAGGATGATACGTAGCAAAATAAAAATTAGGTGGCAACTGTGTAGTGTGAGAGAGGTGGGCAGGTCGGGGCAGCTCGTCGACCCTCCACCACCACCACACATTCACCAGTTGGCAGCCCGCACTCGCTCACTAAGCTGCCCTCTACTACTCGTTCCCCGAGCTGTCTTCTACACTCTCGGGCATCTCTTACCACTTGAAACGTAATCCCATTACCGTCTTGGCTTTGCCAACGCTCGCGTTATTCTTCCTTTAGTGTTAAATTCACGCACAACGTTTAATCGGTAAATTGATTACTTTTCGTAGCTATCACAGAGATATTTCATACATTAGCGCCTATATCACATAACGCGCCTCCACGGTCAACTTTTCGTAAAGTTACTAAGCAATACTACAGGACTACAGGTATCCCAACCTGTCCTTTGAGACCCGCTCGACGACACCGTCAGGATGGGTAACGCGTTCTCCAGTTGCCGGGAGTCTAGCTGCTTCAGCTGGCTCTTCCCCAAGAAGCCCAATAACTTGCCCTCCAAGCCCGAGCCCGTCGACCGCCCCAAGCCCATAACACCAGAGTATACGGAGGACGCTGGTAAGTTAACCACTCTAGTCATGTTCCGCCATATATTGACAGGTATAATGGTCTCAATATTAAATGAACAAATCGACAAGGGCCGTGACGTGGATTCGAACGTGCGTCTGAGAGCATCCCAGACGCTCTCAACATTGTCTGAGGGTAAAGAATCACTGAAGTGATATCTTTATTTTCAGAGGATAACACCTGGATTTCTTTCAGGAAGCTCTGTCTGAAATTAATTTAATATTCACTGGGATGAACGCCAAATTATCCCACTTTTATATAAAAATCCAAATGCAGCTACTGCATGCTGTAGAAGTTTGCATGGTAATAAACCTTGATTGGGGAAAAAGGCTTGGCTAGTTAAATTAAATCTATAATAATCGCCGGGGCATTGTAATTCCTGTGTACTATAGTAATGTAACTGTTTAAGAGTGTTCTCCTTTAACTCTTAAATACGAAAGTTTGTAATACTAGGCTTTCTAATTAGTGTCGGAATTACCAACGTTATCTTGTTCAGAGTATATTACCCAAAGGTTAAATGGATAATTACTGAATATAATATTCCTTGTAATACTGAACTCGTAATGCTCGTGAACGTTCATGCATGTTAGTATTTTTGGCAATAAAAGCTAATTGCTTTAGTTGGCACTCGACCCATGTAAGTGCTTGTTTAGGAATGACACCGCTCATTGTGGGTGCATGAATGGGTGTTTAAATTGTTAAATTATAGCTTTTTTTTTATACACCCCTACAGATATTAATGACCCCCGGCAGTACATAGCGCTGTAGTGTCCACTAGAATAGGCTACATCGTTAGTTCCTGGCTAGAGGCCTAAATATTAGGCGAACAATTGCATGACAAATAGGGCCATGCAAAGAACGTGAAGGCTTGTATTTCCATTATGACTTGGCCGCAGACACATCCATTGTAGGGAATAATGAAGCACTAAGACTCCCTAATGCGAGGAATCCCAATTGAAATGTGATAGAGTAGACAAGCCCGGGACGCCTCCCAAACTTGCTTCCATGGTAGTATCCTTCACAGTTCCGGCAATAATTATTGGTATTAACGAACAGTCTCGTGTAGTTTCAAAGAAACGTACAGGCTGCCAGGCTCTTGGACTAACTAGCCAAGAGCTAGTTAATACTGTTCATCTTTGAACGGCGTTAAAGTACTAAGTTAATCTATGCAAAATATCTGACCCACTCCCAGGGTGTTCGTCATGGCCTGCATGTTAATGTTTCCTTGGTAGTCGTGTATAGTAAAGAATGCTAGGCAAATGTTTAGCTACCGAAATAAACTAGATAGTTTACACTATGTAAAGCCCCCTTAGGCTTTACATACTCACAGTAGTGCATAGGCAAAGTCTAATCTTTTTTACTATATTTTATACTTGGTTACTTTGGTTCACTTTCATTTTTGTTCATTTACTGATATTTGCGATGAAAGTTGATTTGCATTCCTCGGGTCGAACGAAACTCTGACTAGGGAAAATTTCAATTTGATAAAATTTAAGTTTAAATGTCCATTGACACCTAAAATTTGGGTGTATATTTCGAATATTAAAAATAAACGTCCAGCTCTTCCTTTACAAATAAGTTTAGACGCAGTTCCTGGTGGAAGAGCCGTTGCTCGCAGTTAATTTGTGTTGAGAATCTCGAACTAGATCAGAATGACCAGAGGGCCCGTTGCCAAGCTGCCTGCCATGGCTGTAACCTACTTTCAACTTGGAATTAATCACATTAATAAAAGTGTAAATGTTAATAAAGTGCAAAGGTTAACTTTAACGTTATTTAAGGTTGCGAATGAATGCTTAAATACTATTCTTGGCATTATCTGTTGTCCTGCTAAAATGAGATTATAATTTAATACTGCTTGACAAAACTCGTGTTTGCCTAATATAATACTATTAACACCAAGGTACGTTCCGGTTCTTGGCGTTTAGTCATATTGTCTGGGCAGGAAACCTGTTGCTTACCAAAGGCTCATTTAGGCACAGGATCAGTCCTTAAACAGTATTCGATCCAAAACTGGTATTTAACTTCCAGGTAAAAAGTTTCTGGGCGTCTGTCCTGCTCGGGAATTTAACCCGGGACCCTTTGGATGGTCAGAAAGATAATCTGACCTAAATGACCCTCAAATTCTATAGGGGTAATGATTCTAGTCTTATAATCTGTAAGGGTCAGGGTGTGTCCGGGAACACCTCGCCTAAATACCTTGTCAAGTACTTTGACGAGCTGAATTAAATTTACATTTTAGTATGAAAGCTGTGCATGCTGTGTGTAACAAGAATGCTGTTCGTTAGTTCTCGGTAGTTTTCACCCCATGTTGTATCCAGGGCCTACTGTGGTTTCGTTAACGTATTGTTGAACGTAGCCTTCTCTGGCAGGTCTTCTCCTTACCTTATGTGGCTCGTGAGATTAGCGAGAGATGACTACTGATGCAGTAGGCTAGGCTCGTCGCTGTCCACAGGCCGGGTACCTGTGGGGGAGGGCCCGGTACCTGTATGGGGGGTGGGCGCACCTGTCCTGTTTCTGGGTCCCGGTGGCCTTGTAGGATTTGCTTTCAGGCTTTGTTTGGCATGAAATGACTGTTTACACTCTAAATTTAGTGACTCTTTAACTAATCTGAGAACAGTATTTCTGGCGTGGCAGATGACGTTATGAAACGTCATCACGTGATGGAATGTAGTCACTTAGCAATTCCCTACTCTCAGGATAAATGTGGGATGCATAATAAATGAACTCTAGATGGCTCGCTCTAGTCGGTATTTATACGGTGGTATATTAGAAACTCATTGCGCTTGATCTTGTTCTATTTTTTTTAACTTCAACACCCTGTCATTAAGGGTGTACGTGGAAGGACAAGTGGTGCAACCAGAACGTTCGTGTGGTGGCATACTGGGGTGGCGAGGGAGGGGTGGATGGCAGGGCTCCCCCCTGCTGGAGGAAGCATGTGGCCGCCCCTGGGGAGGGGGTAGCAGCGGATAGCAGGGTACCACATGACCCCGGGGGGATGGTAAGAGGCGGTGCTGGGTGGAGGACCTCAAGGGGAGGGCGGGAAGAAGGGCAAGGTCAAGGGTGGCGAGACACACACAGGAACAATAAATAAATAGCCTCATTAATCAGTATCAAAACGTATACAAAGGCATCAGTGTGCGCGCTTCACAGTATTCGTCTATAAACATCCATACGTGCTGAAATACTTGTTAAGAACGTTACACTCGCAGCTCCCTGACAAGAGGAAGCTTGGCTTCGCCGCCAACTAACGCACGCACTCGCATGATAGAGCCCAATAGGCTCTGAAATCTATACACGGGTTGATACAGTTGAGGCGCTACCAAAGAGCCAAAGCTAAACCCCCGCAAACACAACTAGTACACATTGTCAGCAAGGCGGACATCCCACCTATCATAACTCGTATAATTGTTGGAAGTATGTGTTGGGGGCCTACCTATGCCCACGGGAGACATCTCCAGTCACGCAGGGTGCAGTCGCACCTCCACAGATCAAATATCTATTGATACTGGTAATGGCTCCAAAGGGCCACCACTTTCGGGCTATTCGTGCCCGTGCCACCTTTTGGGTGGCTTAATCTTCATCAATCTACCTATGCCTACTTGTGTCGACTCGACACCGTAGAGAACAAGGCAGTCTTTGTACACTCGTCAGAGGTGGCAAAGACCCGTACATAGAGCTCTGCGCCAGTCTGTCCATCCTACACAGACGGAGAGTTACATGGCCCAGTATATATACATGTATACACATTATATTTTATTAACATAATAGGCAACAGGTGGTTTTTATACTGCATTCTTGCCCACTGACGCGCTAACTACGACCAACAGCAGGTCGGGGTTCAATCCCTGACCGTCAAAGTGGTTGGGCACCATTCCTTTTCCCCGTCCCATCCCAAATCCTTATCCTGACCCCTTCCAAGTGCTTTATAGTCGTTCTCCTGATAGTTCCCTTCCCTCCAAAATGGGGGGGGGGGGGGGACCAAAAGTGTAGTACATTTTAGGAACCTGAAGATACATTGTATAAACTGGTATGATGAATCGCGTGAATGAGAAAGATAGTGGCTTTACAGGAATGTAAAATAAACTTGATTTCTATGTCCTCTGTTAACCCCCAATGTACCTTGTATATAAATAAATAAATAAATAAATAAATAAATAAGTGTTAAGCAGGGAAAGTTTTTTCTACCGCAGACGTGGTCAGACATTTACAATGCTAACCACATGTATACATCATCTGTCCTCCATGGGACAGGATGAGATATATATTAAACATACAGTCCAGGGATTTATTGCACAATCTACCACAGAAGGTGACTGTAGTGCTTTTAAAATGCTAATCTAACCTACTGAGGGAAAGAGGTAGGGGTAGTTCTTGCTTGGGGGGGGGGGTGTATACATAGGCTCTTGTGTGTATGGAGGCGAGTGGGGGGGGGGGGTACCAAGTGGTGTGTTGAAAGTGGTTTATGCCTTTCATATTTTTTTAAGCATTGCACAAAGTTATCAAGGCATCACTCATGCTGTAGGTACGATACTAGATGGCATCCGTAAGAGATTGTAAAGGGATTATAATTAGTTTTGGATACCATCTCTAAACTAACATGGCTAAATTAGAATGCAGCCTTTATGAAACTTAACTGTACGTTGGTGCCTCGTCTCGTAACGTAACCAAGCTTCCAAACATTCAGCGCTAATGGGGAAAGATAATTCGGCTTGTAAAGCACTGGTATTCGGAATTTATTTTAGACATGTTTATATATTTTTTTATTGTTGCCGCCAGAGGCGGCTAGTTTGTGTACCCCATACTCGTCCTCTGAACGGTAGCGCAAAAAGCATTACAGAGAGCACAAAAGGTCTTTATCAGACCTCATCTTAGGTCTTGAGCACACGGTTTTAAACTCTGCGAGCAGAAATTGGGTCATATCTCGTATTGAATGTCCCGTTAATAGACCTTGCAAACCTACCGGTATGAGGTACTTTGAACTTAAGTTACTC